CAGGGGCAGAATTGGAAATTTTTCATCCATGCACTCTTTCAAGTTTATACTAGCTATGCACCATTAATCTACCAATTTAAGCACTAAATCAACATTAAATCCATCATCAAACATCATATCAGCCATCAACCCAAGAGTGGGAGTTCATAGAGCCCACATTCAAAATTTTCTAACAATTTAAAGCTGCCCATGAGAATCCAAGAGTTCATGAGTGTAATCTATCTTCCATAAGCTAAGAATTAAGTGGTTGATCATTACTTACTTGGATTGGTGAACAAGACAGAATTTTCGGCCCCTCCTTGCTTCAAAATGAACCGTGAAAAGCTCCCCCTTTTTAGCTAGATACAATCCCCAAGTGTTCAACTAGGTGTAGTTCAATTTTGGTTTGATTTGGTTGAGATTTGGTGCATGAATTTGGAGTAGAAAGTGATGGAGCAAGGCTGGTTCTTCTTTCCCTTGCTGTTCGGTTGTGTTGAGGTGAGAAATGGAGAGTGTTTGCTGATGATAAGGCTTCCGTGAGAAGCTTAGCAATTGGGGTTTCAAGTATACAAAAGTCAACTATCCTTTAGCGCGCGTACGCATGCGTTTTGTGCTCGATTCCTCTCGAGTTTATTGCACTAGTGCACTAAACCTCTAACGCGCTTACATTCATATTATTATTATTCACTCTTAATAGTCCCAAAATAAGGCTCCTCAATTACTCGCGCGCGTAAAAACGCGTATCTCCAAATTAAGCGCGATAAAGCTAAACCGCCAAGAATTTCTTATAACGATGGTACTAATAACTATCACTTGAGTATTTAAACATAAAATACCTATCTTAAGTCCATTATATGAGTCTCCAATTTTCCCAACTTATGGTATTTCCAAACCAGCTAAAATCCCAAATCGCGTATTCACTATTTTCACTTAATGAGCTTCCAAAAATTAAATTTTTAAACGAGTCACTTTAAAAATATAACGAAACTATAAATGCATGCAATTAGGTCTAAAGAGGTTAGAAAATAATAATCAGAGTAAATGGGCAATTAAATATTTAAATAAACTCGAAATGGAATTTTAAAATAATAAAAATTTTGTAAGACATCACAAAAACTGCACGACCCCTCATGCACCAACCACAACATAGATAAATCAACTTGTCAACTGACATTTAACATGCGTCTCCAAGTTGCCGAAGCATAGGGATTAAAGTCTGCTTGACAAGGATGTATCCATCTACAATACTTTGCTCGAATAAAAGATGTCCAAAGAGAAGAGCCCGTTTGAAAACTCCACTATAGCATGTAAGAGAAAGCTGTATACACATCCCTAAGCTTTCAAAAACCTACTCCTCCCTCCTCAATTGGGTAACATAAAGAGGGAAACTTTGATGTTCAGGAAAGAATTAAAACCATCTTTCCCCCTAAAGAGAGAAACTTTGATTTTCAGGAAAGAATTCTTCCAAAAATGGCTTGACTCGCCTCCCCATATTAAGACGACTTACATCTCCCAAAATACAAATGAAAGCCTAAATAGCAAACTGGAAAATGCTGTCTAGAAAACTTAGTGATGCATTCAATCACCCTTTGTTGAGCTAATGGCATTGACGGATGTACCAAGTAACCATTCTTTTGGGCATTCACCAGCTATCCAGATGTTTTTTTGATACAAGTCCAAAACTTGCATAATGTTCTTTAAAGAAGTAGACAAACCATTAGCAAATATAATAAAATTACTATTTTATATTTATAAATATTAAATTAATACTCAACGGTTCAACCAGTGATCTGGTGACCCAGTTCCTCTGCCGGGTTCCTTATGGGTCGGGTTTAATAATTATGATTATAATTGTTCCCTTTCTTTAATTATAAATTATGCTTCTCTTGCATGCATTTACATTGTAATTTTTGAGTGTTTTAAGTTAATTTACATTTTTTAGCATAATAATGTGAATTTAGCACATTTTTTTATATTTACAATTAAATTGTTGTCATGATCCTTTTATCGATTTTGAGTATACGTAGGCTAATCTTACCTCATTTAGTCATCAATTCAAAAGTATTTACCCCTACCATCCTTTGGATTCTAATTACGTGATCTTATGTGCTTAAATGTATTTACTTATTTATTTATTTTAAAATTTTATTCAATTTTTATGTGTGTTTAATCTAAATTTTATAATTATTTGGAGGGTACTTAAATACTTTAAGATGTACTAGATAGGTAATATTTTTTCTTTCTTTTTGTAAGAATTGTAATTAGATAGACCAATATAATAGATAGATTTATTTTATTATATTTTTTTTCATTTCAGATTGTAATTAGGTCCCTAAATGTAATAGATAGGATATATAGATTTTTTTATTATATTTTTCCATTTTAGATTGTAGTAGGTCCCCTATTATAATAGATAGGTTTTCTATGTTTATGTGTCTTACGTGCTTATGTGTTTTACCCCTTTTTTTAGAATTTTGTATTTAGATATTATATTCATGTGTTACGTGTTCTATGTGCTTTTATGTGTTTACTTGTTTTAATTCATACTTGATTTGTTTTATTATATATTATGAATGCATAATGTCACCACACTAGTGCAATGCTAGTTGTGGCTTTTGCTCACTTCCTTACCAGTCCAACACTAGTGAGAATTTTTAGAAATGGCTTAGTCCAATGTTAGACGCTTAGATCATCTATGCGTTAGATTCATCTTTTGTGTGTCATTCATTGCATTTTCATGCATTTTTTCTATTTTAGGTAAATTTTCCCATTTGCATAATGTTTCCTCTTATATTATCCCTTTATCCCTATACACGTGAGCCATATCATTTAAATTAGCATTTCACTTAGAAAAATTTAAAAAATAAGTTAGTTCATTTGCTTGTTTAGATTAGAAAAGTTACCTTTTGAATGTGAAAATGGGTGATTATAGTTTTGTAGTTTCAATATCCCATTAACCTCTCTTTAAGAAAGAAAAGTGTATCACAAGTTTTTGTTCCTTGTACCCATTATATTGCATTACCTTTTTTTTAGTCATTTATATCTATATATAAAGTTTAATTTTCTTTTTTTTTTGAATCTCATCTTTGCATATTTGTGACCCCTTTAAGAAATTACTTGGGCCTTCACAATTAAAGCGATTGGTGCCAACTAGATCTTGAATGGGCATTTTCCCCCTTTCAATATCTTCTTAAAATTTAGGTTTGTATCCATATAGGAAACATCCAAATATAATAAGTTTAAAGGTTAGATTAGGAAAATTTTGACTAAACCTCGCAACTAGTTTAGATTAGATTATAAGGGCGTTTTAGCTTTGAACTGATCGAGTCTTTGGCTTCTCTTTTCTCAACCATAACTCTCAAACTTATTTTCTCTCATTTTTAAAGATCTGGAGTTGTTAAAAAGGGTCTTATTTTATTTTATTTTAATTTAGATCAAAAATATTTTAGGTGAATTGATACACCTAAACTTGATACCAAGTGGCGATTTCTTTTTCCTAAAATCTTTTTTAGACTAAATTTTGGGTCCAAAGTATCACATTTTTTAAAGTTCCGTTTTAGGCCCTTTTTTACTTATTTTTGTAAATTGAAAATCACATTTTTTTTGTTGCGAAAAATGGGGCGTGACAACTAAGTTTTATGTTTTCAGCTGAACAAGGCTAGATGGAGTCATGGCAAATAAAATGGTTCCGACATTTATACATCCTCTAATTTATGTACCCACATTATTGCATAATTTTTCACATCAAAATTGTGCTTCCAAACTGCTGAAGAAAAATATGAGTGGCGATCATGCAAGGGCATAAATGCTATATCCTACTTTAAGACTTATTTTTCACCATACAAATCATCAGTAGCTGCAATATAGGAACAAGATTCCTCATACAAAGGGTTCCAAAGCATTAAATTCTTCTTTTTCTTTACCAATTCTTAATTTTCCTTCAAGTAAATCAATGTTAGCTCCCCCCATAGCTAAGACCCTCTACCAAGGATAATAGGTATAGAAATATCTTCTTCCATATCAAGAACAATAAAATCAGTAGGCAAAAAAATTTACCAACTTTTACCAATAAATCCTCTACAACGCCTATTGGATATCGAACTAAATGGTTAGCAAATTGTAGTACCACTTGAGTCGGCACAAGGTTGGCAAACTTCAATTTCCTGAAAAATGATAAGAGCATCAAATTAACACTAGATCTAAGGTCACATAAACATTTATCAACAAGAAGATGTTCAAATTAATAAGGCACAGTAAAACTCCTTGGATATTTCATTTTAATTGGAAGATGATTTTGAAGCACTATACTGCATTCCTCGGTAAGAGACACCTCTGCAAAGTTTCCCAACTTTTTTTAATTAGACACTATCTCCTTTAAAAACTTTGCATAAACAAGGATATTTGCCAAAATTTTGGAAAAAAACATATTAACTTGTAACTTCTTAAGCATAACCACAAACTTCTAATATATCTTATCAATTGCCTTCCTCTTAAGCCTTTGCATGAAAGGGATAGGCGGGATGTATGTTTTAACTTTAGGCAATTTTATCTGGATATTTTCTTTTGTAGCATCTTCACCTGAATTGGGTTCCTTATCTTTACTTTCTTCACTTTTCTCATCAATTAAGATCTCCTCTAGCTTCTTTGATTTTTCCTTGGAATTTTGAACAGATTCATCCAACACTTTCCCCAAACGAAGTGTCACTACCTTTTTAACTCCTTTGAAATTCACCTCAATGGTACTAGGCATGTTACCTTACCCTCTCAGTCATTGCCTTCGTCAATTGTCCAACTTGTTGCTCAAGACTCTAAACAAATGCCTGTTGGGACTAAACTATTTGATCCATTTTTTGCTTATATTGAAATATCATCTCCTTCATACTACAATTTTTCTCTTGAATAGGTTGAGGAGAATACTATAGTTTTTGCTATTGACCTTGGAATCCTAGTGGTCCCATAGGTTTTTTTAAAAAAAACAAACTTACTTTATTTATTAAAAAAAGGAGTACATGATTGCAAGTTCAGGCAACAGCACCCGACCTACAGATAGGCCCTAAGGACCTCTTAGAAAATCGAAAATGCCCAACCCCCAGTCTATCAACCTGACATAGGCCCCTCACTGACCTAGGCAAGGACGTGAATGAGAGAAAGAGACAGAATTTGTCGGAACGGCTACCCAGCGATGCCAACGAGTCTGCCACAAAATTTCCTTCCCGATGGATATGTTGACAGGACGATATAGCAGGCGAGAGTTGCCGAAGATGACGGAGGATTGCCAGTAGCGATACCGGAACAACCCCATATCCCTGTAGAGCATCAATCAGGATCTTAGAGTCACCCTCTACCAGGACTTGGCCATGGCGGAATAGGTTACACAATTCAAGCCCCATGCACAACGCCCTAGCCTCAGCTTGCAATGACGTCACATTTCTGTACGGCTCTGAATAAACAAAAATCACCCAACCCTTAGAATCCCTCAGTACTCCTCTTCCTCCTGCTTGGGAGTGGGTAATGATGGACCCATCAAAATTGACCTTCAACACCTCTGCCGCTGGGCGAACCCACCGAACATACCGCACTTGGACAGGGAAGCGGACTTCACAAAGGCGTCGGATCACCGCCTGCCAATTACACCCCTGTACACGACAGCGAAGGAATGGAAACTGAGATCCAAGTAAGTCCTCAAAGTCACCCAATATCCTATCAGAAATGACCTTCGCCGAGAGGACCTGTCCTTCGTATACAAACCCACATCGCGCCTTCCATAAGTGCCACAAAATAATCGCCGACTCCACGCGTAATACCCATCGCAGGTGACGTGCGCGGGGAATAATATATAATTAAGCTCATCCCAATTAAGTTTTACACTTATAAATTCCTAAATACCCCACACGCGATTTATCGCAAGTAGACGAAGCGTGAGCGAGTATAGGATATTAAGGGTCGATCCCACAGGAAAGAGTGCAATTATCAGTGTTTTTCAAATTCCTTTATTAGTTAGACAACCACAAATATAAAATTTATGAAAATAAGACTGGAAAGCTCCTAGAGATATGGAATTTCTTACCACTCTTGCAAATGACATTACCGGTTACTTGTATGTTATTATCTTGGCTAGTTATGGTGCAATTTTCTAATGTATGTGAAACCTACTCTCGTAGTGAATCAACTACACTTGTAACTAAACCATACCTACTCTCGTGGTTATGAATTAATTATAAGCTCATTTCTTCTATGAAATTACATGAAACAAGTCACTTAAACCACATAGGTGCACCTCTACTCTCGTGAGTGAACTCCCCATGTTTATCACTTCTTTGAACTAGTGTTAAATTCCAATTCTCATTGTCAATTTAACACCTTTAGATAATCACAACTAATGGCCAGTTAATTGTGATTAGAAAATCAAAAGTGATAAATAACTTGTTCAAAATAATATCACCAAATAACCAAATTAATATCACTAACAAAATATAGAAAGTTCATCCATACTCTAGGCATAAACTTTAGAAACACATAAATAACGTAAAATCCAGAACTTGTACATTAACCAAACTTAAGAATCCAATCCAAAAGATAAAGAGTTGGAGAAGAGATAACCCATGTCACTTGAGCTTCAACTCCTCCTTCTTCATCTCCATCTTCATCCTAATCTAGCTAATAAACAAGAAGGATGAACTAACTAGCTAAACTATCCTACACTAAGGAAATGGAAGAACTACATTTTTGCACTCTCCAAGCTCCTGCAAAAAATGCTAGCCCCAGAGAATATGACCAGCCTCAGTTTTTATCCTAAAATTCTGATATCCTCCATTCTCCTACAGTATTTTTCTTTTCCCCTTTGATTCTCTAAATCTGGTGTTAACCAAGTCAACAAAACAAAGTTCCAGCCTCTTGATTCTACTGTATATTTTTGACTTGACAATAAGCTATTTTTCTTCCTTTGTGTATCAGAAACATATGCAGCCTACGTTTTCTCTCCAACTCTAGCTGGAAAGTAGTGTGAAGATGAGAAAAATGGCTGAGCAAATTGCAGAAATTCGGCTGCCATACGCCTTTTCACTTTTGGCCTCACTTCAACTGCAATTTTCTCTATGATAGCCACCAAACTGATAGTCATACAAAACACAAAAATTGTAGCCCTTTGAATTAGCGTTCCAGTGCTTCAAGAATCATCTAATTTGGAGATCGGTGGACGGAGATATGGTCAAAATACCATAGACTGGTCAATTCTGGGCTTCAGCTTTCGACCATCCAGATAAGTTTCTGTGTTTCGACTTTTTGACCAAGAAAATAGCTGAATTGGACTTTGATATCTTATACCAAATGTAGATATATCTCTTAGTTTCAAAATGGTACCAAGATCACCTCGATCCGATCATTACAGCTCGAGATATAGCCGAAATACCAAGATATATCGAAACTGTCTTTACTTGAATTCCCTCAATTGAATGTTTTGTACTTCATGCCTTCTTTAAACCACTTCAATTCATCAATTATCATCCAATTTTCTTCTCAATTCACTCCAACTGATGATTGAGTTCTTAAACCTACAAAAACATGAAGTTCTTTCCGTTAAAATCTATATAAGTGCAATTTTTGCCAATTAAACCGCAACATAGATATCTTGACCAAAACCCTAGTTAATTAACTATAAAACTAGATAAAATACACCAATACTAACTAATAAAACATACTAAAAATACGTAAAATATCCACTTATCAAATACCCCCACACTTGAACCATTGTTTGTCCTGAAGCAATAAGAAATACTAACCAAAAATGATTCAAACTTTTAAACATATGTGCACCATTCAGTTTCATTTTCTCAAAACAAGGTAAATAACCATTACGCAATCGTTCATTAATCCTCAAGTACTCATAATATCAAGTAAAGGAGAGCCAATCATACCACAATTACAACAAATTCAAATCAATTTCTCATCCTTATCCAATTTTACAAGCAAATAACTCATATGGTAAATAAAATGCTTCCTAAACTTTTGATCATCTTTTTATTCTATTTAAAAAAATATTTATTCATATAACATATCTAAATATTACTTAAGACGTGACAATGCTTTTTGACGCGAGAATCAACATTTTTGGATGAAGATCAACGGTTACTCAACATTTCACATACTCAAGTTGCTTTGCATACTCTTAATTCAAGTATCGTTTTACGTGAAAGTCGACATTTGTAGATGAAGACACCCGATTACTAAGTATAAGAATCATTGGAGTAGAACAAATCTTATTTTATTTTTTTCTTCTTTTTTTTCATTTTTTCTCTTTTTTCTTTCCATTTTTTTATAGCAAAGATAATAATAATTTTCTCAAAAGAATAATCATGAGAAGAGTATTACACTTAGTGACCATATTTATCACTTAACTTATAAAATCTATTTAAGAGAAGAAATTTCATTAAATATGCAAAAAAAAAATAGGCATAATTTTCTCCACTTTACAAGATATAATTTCCTACAAATGCACAAATTATAATCATATAATAGTTATTTCCAAATTGAATGAGAAAAGAAGTTCCAAATCACATATATTTATCTCAAATATAGAAGAAATTTGAACTACTAATGATAAGGAACTTATTACCCCTTAGATAAATTGAAAAAAAAATTTGAAACATTTTTTGGGTAACTTTGCAATTTTGGACAAGAAAAATTTTGAATTTTAACACAAGTCCACTATTTGCAACTATTAAGTCAATCACATATAATGTATATAATCTCAATTCTTCCCCCCACACTTAACATGCACATTATCCTCAATGTGTAAAAAGGGAAATTAAGATAAAGAAAATAATACTCCCCTATTATTGTGATTGAATAAGAAGCTTCAAGATACATTGTCCATTTTTCTCCCATGTTTCATGAGTTCCATTTGATAACTATTAGTAATATTAACCTAAAAATGGAAAATGAAAAACAAAAGTGATAACAAAGGCTTAATAAAACAAAACGGCAATCCGTAACTTCAAGCCTTTGTTTTGGTGACGTACCTATATAAAATACACAATAAGCAACTCAACGTATAAGAAAATATATGAGGAAAAGAAGAAAAAGAGAATCAAGGAAACTACATTTTTTTAAAAAAAAAAACGTGCTCAGAAAACGCGACTCATCAAAACGCGCCATCAAGCTGCGTTTTGTGAAGTCGCGTTTATTCACAAAATTTGCAGCATTGAAAACGCGAATTCCATTCGCGTATTTAAGGCGCGTTTTTGGTTTCTAATGCAGGCGTGAAAACGTGACTTAGGTGAAAACGCGACTTCATGTCGCGTTTTATTGGCGCGTTTTCTTCAATATGGGTGCAGAACTGAAAACACGATTTGCGGAAAATGTGGCTCCGAGGCACGTTTTTCAAGCCAGATGCGTTTTCTTCTGCGAATTTCTGTAGAAATCCAACTTTTGAAAAATTAAAAATGGTTCCCCAATTTCACAAAATGCATCATAGATCATTTGTTTGCTAAAATACTCAATGCATGCACATGTAAAATGATCAAAACATTCATTTTAACCCCTTCTAACGAATCAAAAACAACAATTACTCAAATCGAGGGGTTGAGTTCCTTGATCAAACTTCGCCCTTTTCACCTCTTTTGGTCACTTTTGCTTCAATTTTCAATACCTACAAATGAAAAACAACAAAATATCTCAAACTCATACTTTAAACATAAAATCACACCAAAATAACATAAATAACCAAAACATTGGGTTGCCTCTCAATAAGAGCTTTTATTTATAGTCGTTGGCTCGACTATTGAACCTCATTTTTCAAGGAGGCTTGGTTAAAGAATAATCCCCCATTTTAGGTCGTGGTGGATCATTAAAAGGTGACTTTATAGCAAAAATCACATGTTCTAATGATATGAGAGATGGAAGTGACTTACCTATTCTATATGTTTCATAAATATTACCTTGAAAATGCACAACTTGAGAACTTACCAAAGGGAATGCCATGAGAGTATCTTGGGCAGCAATACCCTTAGAACCTATACCTTCCATGCACTCCTCAAGAGGGGTGAAAATTGAGTCATTAAAACTCACCTCTTGAGGTTCAAGATTAGTTCCAAAGATATTATCAGGTAAAATGGATATTTGCTCATTAAAACACAGTTGAGATTCATCATTTTCATCAAAATGCAATCCATTTTCACATATAACATTTCCACTATTCATGCTAGGGTCATTTTGCATATCATTAGAAGAAATAACTTCACACAACGCATGCAATTGCTCTTGTATTCTACCAAAGTGAGAAGTTAATTTATCTATTCTTTCCTCAACCCTATCAAAACGGTCGGAAGTTGTATTAGCTAATTTTTCTACGGCTAACTCCCAAGATGGTTTTGATTCATATTGGACACATTCGGATGGATAATCATAAAATCATGAAGAATCATTATAAGTACATTGATTATTCCAACTATAAGCATAAGAATTGCTCAAATTATCACCATATTGATCAAAACAAGGATTGCAATGCCCCAATTCATCATAATAATCCACACTTTGTCCTGTCTACATGTATTAGTAGCATGATAACCTCCACACAAGTCACAAATTATTTGATAAGAGTTAAAAATATTAACATTCCTAATTTGCTCAATTTCATGCATAATTGTGTCCATTTGAATTTGTAATGTTATAACATCAAGTTTAGCTTTTAAGCACCTCAAACCATTTTCAAATGACATACCTTCGGTAATTTCTGAGTTACCTAGATTCAATGAGCTTTGCACGTAGTAACCATCAATTGTCAATCTTCCATTTCTCAAGCATTGTCCTCC